ACTCAGTGACGTTCAAATTCTAATAAAATTTGTAGGTTTATATAAAAATTACTAGAAACAATCTTCATCGCATATCATAAATGCTCATCTGCCAACTGGATTCTTTGTTTAAACTTGTTAACTTTCAACTGCGAGAATCTCTGTTTTCGTTTAAAGGAACCGCTTAATAAAGGAATTATATTCTTATTGTAAAATTTCTTGTATTTATCATTTGACAAGTGCGAATAAAATTAATCAAATCTGTATCTTCTAATACTTAAATTATATTTATACCACAGTGCAAATAATTAACTACAACCGTAGATATTCTGGTGTGTTATTCACTTTTGTTTTGCAACGAAAGCAATATAAAAGACTCTTAATCATTAAAATCTTTAAATCTTTCTTCTAATTCTTACAGAAATAAAGCTACTTTTCTTGCATATTCTTGAGACTTCCATTTAAAATAATAGGTCAGGATTTACGATGTAGGTAATATAAGAAAGATTTTCATTCTAATAGTGTTTTCATAACTGCAGTTTTACTTTAAACACCTGGGTGGGCCAAATAAGACCTACTAATGTTAAACACGAAAAATTCTTGTAATAATAATTTCTTTTGATTAATTGTTTCATACATTAAACATATTTTGTGGAAATTATGTATGAAAGACGTCAGGCAAATGTTCACCATTTTTCTCGATACAGAGATTGGTTCTTTTTAACGAGTAGAGACAGATGGATCATCTGCAACACTCTGCCGCGCAGTTTCCACATTGTCTTCAGCGCGAATATTTCGATGGGCACCTCTTCCAGAACGTTTCGGCCACTGAACCCAGTTCCTCAAAATGTCCGACCAAACTCCTAATCATGAAGGCTGTGGGAGCTGATCTTGAATTAAAATATTGCCGATATTTACGCTGTGTCATAACAATTGATCGTTGACAAGAACAGAAAAACTCGATAAATTTAACGCGTCGTTTTGTACTGTATGGTTCCATAATAAATTTCCAAGAATCCAATTATAACTTAAAGGATTAACTTAAATAAAGAGAAAAAAATAATTATATTAAAAAATAAAAAAGTTACTTGTGTTTAACATTGGTAGGTCTTATCTGAACTACCCTGTACAAGTGTACATCTTTCTTTGCAGCTCTTTATTGAGCATATTTAAATGGCCGCTTAAGTCAAAGAAATGATAAATCATAGTTAGGTAACTTGGCATGAAAGCATACAATCAAAAAGCCCCAACATAGTCATTCTATCTTTTTTCTTTCAAAATCATTCAAGTACTCATGCTCAGTCTATATAGCTATGCCTCTAAAACCATAAGCACCCACTTACGACAAACATTTAACTGAAATGCTTAAGCAGACTAAGTAAAATTGTTTCGAGGAATGCATGGAGCTCTCTGGTCGCCAATTTGAGTCAACTAGTTTAGGTAACCAACTTCGTTCAAAGGGCTTTCTTCAAAATATTTATTATATTTCTGAATTTATGCAATTTTTTATTGGTCACTCTTAAGTATAATTATTAGAAAAGTGATAAAAAATTCATTATTTCGTTAAATTTATGCGAAAAAACACAATTTTACATTGAAACGTCAATCACCACTAACAAGAAAATAAGGATGATAAAAACATATTTTTGACTTTATTTTATGTACAGTAACTGTAAGCGTACATAAGGCCATGTAGTTCCAATAATTTTCTAGGAGGAGCATGTAGTAGTGTAGTGAAATATATTTAACTGGAAAATATTAAATCACAAGTAATGTATGGTTAAATATGATAGTCAACACACAAAAATTTAAAACAAATGCATACTCTTATGAATTTTGTACTTAGATAGCTAACTTTAATATAATTAAAAATAAAATTGTTGTATTTTTTTCGTAACAGGAAAAATCTAAAGAGAAGCTAAGCCGGAAAAGTAAGAATTAAGGGCAAGTGCATTTAACATTGAGTAACTGGGTATCACGGTAATTTGGAGAGAAATTGCCAAATATCGCCAAATTTGGCAAAATTTTGATCCGGTCCCTGTATCATCGTATTATGTATTGAAATTGAATAAATGTAATTGACCGCTATGTTAGCTGTAACCGAAATTTAGCCCTCGTATTGCTTTACAGTAATTTCGAGAAGCAGAAAGTACTAGAAATATACCTGCTGCCGGTTGAGAATCATTTAAGGCCGAAGAGGGAGCATCTGCTCTTAATTTTTCAGTTAGCTGCTGCTGTTATTATTGCGAATTCAGCGTGAGCTCGGATTAGCTTTCTCTTTAGACGCGCTTTGCATTGCGTTGTGTTTAACTCTCTTAGTAGTTTGAAGTGTAACTACTTATTGTACTATGTGGTACTGTGAGCACCAGTACCAATATTTCTGTGGAAATTTCTAGAGCTTTGAAATATTTCTTTTCATAAAAATAAATTGTATTAACCTATCATCGTACCTGTGCATACGATCTATTATTTATTATATGAACTGCGAACCCGTAGACACCTAATACATTATGGAAGGAAAAGTTACATAACTTAAATTTTGTAAAGCTAATTTTTTAACTCTTAGTCTACATCATGTATAATCTATTATATTAATAATATATAAAATCTGTGTGCGAAATTTCAGGGGATTCTATAAGGAACTTTAAGGATTATCATGGTTGCTGTCCACATAAATCATAAAAAAAAATAATAAAAGGTCGCATTTACAGTTCTCAGATTAACATTACATGACATATATGTTCTAGGTGCGAATGTTCTAGAAGGTAATGGTCTAAAGGGAGATGCTGAATTGCAGAAAATTAATTAAAGGTTGCTGGTTCGCAAAGAGCAAAGCCATCGTATTTCTTTTTATATTTTTATTTTACATCTTCCCCCCCGTCAAAAAGAGAGGCCGGGGTGAGAAAAGCATTAGTACAGGAGTGAAGCAAAAGTATGAGAAAAGACATGAAAACATCCAGAACATAGCGTACAAGCTTTAACTATGGCCTATCATAGTTCATGACTTTCTCATATAAAATTTTGACTTTATAGCATATGAAATTTTGAACATTAAAACAATGAGTTATAAATAAGTATACAATATATGACTAATTTTAAAACTATAACATAATAAATATGGAATACTGATAAATAAATAAGTTATAATTACAAAAGGCCTCAATTTGGTTAAAAATGTCCATTTTGGTTTTTGAATGTCCTTTTCATAAAAAGAGTTCGAATAGAATGAAAATATCTGGTAAAACCTCTAAATGCCAGATAGTCCACAAATATGATGCATGTTGATAGTTTACAAATATGACGCATTTTTTTTTTTTTTTTTTTTTTTGCTGAATATGTTTTCATAATAGTAGGCTTTGATTAGAAATATTTAAAATTTTTCTTTCTTCAGATAAAACTTAGAAAAGAAATAGATTACAATTATGAATATATATTATGTGCATTTTTTCCTCTCATCGTAGGCAATTAAAGATTGACATTTTACACTTCAACACAAAATATTATAATTATTCAAAAAACAATTCAATACAAATAATACAAATATACACTAGAACATGAACACTTTGACTTTAAAACTATGGCATGTCCTCGCCAACAGATTAGCGTGATTACTTGCTGATGGTTGGGGGGGGGGTGCTAAGTACAAATATCGAACAACCTCCGTTGCCTAATACAAGGTAACTGGTTTTTGGCATTGTACATTACCTCAAAGTGGTTTTAGAAAAATAAAAGATCATATAAAATCAAAATTATAAGACAGATAATTGTATAATCAAGTTAAAGTCTTTTTATAATTTTGTAAATTAGAAACAATATTATCCTACAATAAGAAGAAATTTTTGCTACAAAATAATTCAAATTATGTGAAAAATATAAAGGTCAAGATTGGGAGAATAATTTGTCATAGTCGGAAAAATAACTTGTCATAATTAGGGTTTAAGTCTAAATCAGGTATTAAAAGTCATAATCAGAAAGATTTTTAATAGAGAATTTTGAAAAATTTAATTTTAATTTTGAACAGAGATAGGAATTCTACTATTTCTGACAGTTAACTTAAACTCACTTGCTGGATTAAAAGGTCTTAATCTAGTTGAATAAACAATTTCTGATTTCTTTCTAGTTAAAGGATTAGGTTTATCAATTTCATAAGTAACTTCAGAATATTGTTTTAAAATTTTATAAGGTCCTGAGAATGGAGGAGATAATTTACGTGTATTAGGGTATTGAAATTCTTCATACATTACTATAACAAAAGCAAAGGAGAAGACGAAACACTGTAGATCGGTGATCTAAAGAACTTGGCAATCGAGGCAGTTTTAATTCCATTTTTATTTTCAACTGATATTTGTGGCCACAATCACTTGGCACACTAGTCGTGCCTTTCACAGAAGATTTACATTTTTGATGTTTTTGAGATAGAAAGCAAGCCAACGAAATTACATTTTAGCACAGTAGAGAGCAAAAGCTGAAGTGCGTAGTTATGCAAGATGGAAGCACGCGAACAGAAGAGTTTTTGTTTGCATGGTGATTGGTCGTCAAGAGGCATCTGGTATTAACGGATACGTAAGGTCGCATGATTAATTTGAATGACGCAATGCAGAGAAGTTATTACGATTTTAGAATAGAGAGGAAGAATTAATGTTTATAGTTATATTATAATTATGATTCATATAATTTTATCTTACATATTCCCCCCCTTCAAAAAGAAAAAGGCGTAGCGACAGAGAAGCCTTTTTAAAGAGAAAGAGTTAAACACTAGCAAATAAAAAAGAAAAACATAAATCATAAAATTTTGATTCTATAAAAGTATAATTTATGCGGTAATTCGCTCCTATAACTCATCCTCCTTTTCCTAAATCTGGCAACAGCGACAGCAGCGAGATACTTCTTCAAGCTGTGTGAGGAAATAGACAGACTTGCATTCCGATGATGGTAGTTCTACCACGGAATCTGCTCCTAGTTGTTCTACATCTGATAGTACTGTAAATGCACTTTCCACCCAAAATTTTCCTAAAAATCCTATGCATGTTGATATTGAACTTAAAGGAACTCAGTTAACTGCTCTCTATGACACTGGATCACAAGCAACACTTATTACGGAGAAAACATACCGGAAAATTGGTTCTCCACCATTATATCCTTATAGAATTACATTCTCAGGACTTGGCCAAGACACAGTTCAAAGTATTGGATTCTTTCAAGACTACATTCAAATTTAAAACACTATTTTACCTGCTAAAATCCATGTAGTAAAAAACTATATGATTCCTCTTGATGCCATTATCGGAATAGACGTTTTGCAACAAACTCGATTTACATTTGATAAAGATGGTATTCATTTATGCAACAGTAATAATGATCAAATTTTTGTTAATGTTGCTAATGTTACTGATGATCACACTTTCCCACCTGATCTTTCACACATCTCAAAATCGGAAATTCTCGAAGAAGTTCAACATATCATTACTCCTCACAAGCCACACGAAGTTAACACTGCTATGGAAGAGTTTCAGAAAACAACAGAAAATGAAATTCAGTTGAAGAACAAAGTTAAGGAAAAATGATGATGATGCTGCACATGACGATTTAAAATTGGATTTAGATGATGACAATCTGGATTTGGATAACCACGATGACAAAGTTGAAGCTAATACCAATCATGGAGCTCATGAAGATGATGTTGATAAAGATGGTGATGACGCAGACAACGAGATGGATCAAGATCATGATATTGATGATGACGACAATCATAACGCTAATGGTGCTGCTGATGATAATGGCACTCATGAAGCTAATGAAGATGTTAATCATGTTGATCAAGGTGACGTTGCTGTTGTTGATGAAGATCATGTCAATGAGGATGATGTTGATGACAACGAAGATGATGATGATGACAGTCATGAAGCTAATGATGATGAGGATGTCGATAATGATCCAAGCGTGCAGAATACTGAAGAAACTGTGAAAAATAAACTGAATCAGTTTGAACAAGCATGTGCTGATCAAGCAAACGAGAAAACACCTGCTAAAAGTGCAGAAACTCCCAAAGAACAGAAAAATAATCTAAGGAAACAATTTGTCTCTGACATTCCAGTTGAAGCTTTTGAGGCAACAAAGAATGCTGAAATATTTGGAAGAAAAATTACAATTTCATACACTTTATCTACTTCACACCCCAAGAAACGAAAGAATAGAGCCTGGAAGTATAAACGAAGAAAATTTAAACGAACTCCAAAGACAATGAAATTGCTGACACAGCATGATGATGACAAAGCTGCATTATGCATTGAAGCTCAACGGAACCTCCTCCGTTTACAGCAAGCATATATACGACAGTATAAGAAAGTCGCAAACATCCCTGCAAATACATCTTGGACACCAAATGCCACTCCAGCCTGAACTGAAACTTCCACTTGGACTAAATCTTCGACTTGAACTGAAACTTGGACTTAAAATTCGTCCCAAATTCTTCGGTCCTTATGATACAGTCCATCCCTCTGATTGTTACGAAGTACGAAAGATATGCCATGAAGACACCATTAGGATGTCAACCTGTAATGATAAGATGAACCGGTGGTGCACAAAGCTAACATTCGCCACCTGGACATTGATTTTTTTTTTCAATTTCTCTGCTTTTTTTTTTTTTTTTTTTCTTTCTTTTCAGATCAACCCCCCAGGCGTGGACGCCCGGCAAGGCAGAATGGCCGTGTGGTAATTCGCTCCTATAACTCATCCTCCTTTTCCTAAATCTGGCAACAGTGACAGCAGCGAGATACTTCTTTAAGCTGTGTGAGGAAATGGACAGACTTGCATTCCGATGAGGTTACGACACGGTGATGGATGCAACTGAACTATGCTGTTCGACGATGTTGATTGACGATATAATTTCGTTTCATGATGAATCAAACTTTTTATCTTACTTCCTTTCATTTTGTACATACCATAATCATGTTTATTCTTTCATCATTAAATACCTTTAAAAATGTCACTGCCTTCCTCTATTTTAATCGTAAACTCATCCTACAATTATAATTCTGATTGATATAATTTTATCTTACATATTCCCCCCCCCCTTCAAAAAGAAAAAGGCTTAGCGACAGAGAAGCCTTTTTAAAGAGAAAGAGTTAAACAGCAAATGAAAAAGAAAACATAAATCATAAAATTTTGATTCTATAAAAATATAATTTATAAATATAAATTTTTTTTAAATAAATTTTTAATTTTTAGAGTCCTATTGAATTTTTCAGCATTTCAGTCCAAAAGTCTTTTTGTTTGAGAGTTCACATAATCATAATTCTTCAGAGAAAGTTCTTGTTATCGCAGAATATCACAAAATAAACTTTTACATAATCATTACTTAAAATTAAATGTAATGCACATAAATATTTATGATATTAATTTTCATGTTGATAAATTATATTTTAATGCTATATAATAATAGGAGTAAGCTTCAGAAATTATGGTTTCACCGTTATCATCTTTCATTTACAATTTCTGATTTTACCAAACTGGAAGCCTTGCAATACTTCTAAACAAACATATCCATCAATAGGGCTGACCAGTGTGTTTGCTGCACTTGCGGCTAACAAGTGTGTTTACTGCACTGGTGGCCCAGGGTGCCTAGACAGTTACTTAAAAAGGCCTCCGTTCCTTGCATTAAGGTAACTGGCCTTTGAGAACTGCACTAATACATTCCATAATAAAAAATATAATAATAATAATAATAATATAAAAAAATTACACACATTCAGAAAATGAGAGCCTCCAACATTATCTTACTTGAAGAGGGTGAAGGGAACAACTGTACAGAGGTAATTACAGGCCTCTGCTTGGGAACCCAGTACTCCCTCGACATACACTATACTTAACATACAATCACCCATAAATTTAACAAGCATTTACCATAATTTCATATTACGTATCTGTAATAATTTCACTTATTTTTTTACACCTACTTCATTTTTAGAATAATTATAAAATTCGTATTCAAAATTCTCAACAAAATTTCAAAAACATAAAAACTTATCTTAATATCCTTCCCTATTTATAATTTAAATAGCTTAAAATTCGTTACTTAATTTGCTCACACATAATTATGAAAAATTAGAAAAATTAATGAACAAGAATTTCAGATTTTCTCAAAACAAATTGCAGAAAATTTTAACCAAAGTTGAAATGAAAACTATAGAATCCGCAGCACATTAAATAATTTAGTTCCTGAGCTAGATTCACACGAATGTAATAATTTTTGAGCTGTTGAAAAAGCGGAAGTGCAAATAATTTTCTGTCGCACATACTTGCAAACACTAACTCGGATCGACCTTGAACCCGCTGTAATGCTGAATTCCTAAACGGTAATTCACTGATGATCCTTTTCACTAGGCATTCGAACTTCTCAATTTATCGAGAGATTACTTTCAATCTGTAGACACTACGCGTGATTATTTTTTTGAAGCACTTGCAAAACACCACAGCAGAAGAATGTTCTGTTATTTTTTAAACACTGAAAAACAAACTTAATGATTCCCTTCTTTCACATTATCTTGGATTTACACAAAACGATGATTTGAAGAGCTGAACTAAATTTTTCATTGAGGTTTCAGGCTGCAGGAAACTATGCTACCGGCTAATTGTAATAATAAAATGCAGAAAATTAATTAAAGGTTGCTGGTTCGCAAAGAGCAAAGCCATCGTATTTTTTTATATTTTACATATATGTTATGGTGAAACACCGAAATCTGGAGAATGTCAACATTCACTTGGTGTCCGTCTCTTGGTCAGTCTCTTGGTGTCTGTCCGAAATGTTTTTCAAATACTCTTATTTCTGACTTACACAGGTAAATGTCGACATCCACTGTGTACTAATGGTGAATGTTGAACATATAAGAATATTATATTTTCGTCTCCGTAATTCAGTCGCGAAAAAACGCACTTGAGACTTAAAATAAGAACTTAAGAGCATAAGAACTTAAAACACACGGTATATTCAAAATGAGAAAGGAAAATAACAGAAGTTTTAACTTCTAAGTAAGTTTTTGAACTTACTAATTTATGTGATTTAAATCTTATTTATTGCAACAACTTAAACTATTAAGACGCTTTGATTTGTACAAGAGACCCTTGCTTTTACAACTGAATTTATTTGTGGAACACTTTCTTTTGCAATGACAGCGTGTACATATACTCCTCTCTTTTCGACCTACACCAGAGAATATCTGTGATTGTCGACATACACCGGTGAGGGTCCGAATGTACAAGAATGCAATATTCGATCTTTCACCGACGTATTTGGTGAATGTTGACATTCTCCGGTGAAAGTCGACATTCTCTAATTTCGGTCTTTCACGGTAACATATACACAACTATTCACGTTGCCAAACGAAAATGAGAAATTTATAATAAAAATACTTTTACAGTTTCTGCAGACTAATTGAAATGCTTAAAAGTATTTAGTTAAAAAATAACAAAAAAAAAAAAAAAAAAAAAAAAAAAAAAAAAAAAAGCGAAAATAGCATTTTTAATTTGCCCTTTAAACTTTTACTTCCGCTGTGGCAAACAATAATTTCTGGTTTTCGTCTCTCAGATAAACTGGTATATCTCCACTTCTAATAAACGTATAAAAAAGAAAAGTTGTTTTTGATAGCTAAGAGTGCTGTGTTTAAAGATATGAAATTAAAACATTTTGAGATTTTTAGCGAAAAACGGTCTTTTGAACGAGGTCGGTTACCTGTGTTTTTGTTTGTTCTGCAAAAATGCAATGTATTGATTAACAAAAAATGGGCATAAATAATTCTTATCAGTTAACAATATATTAACTTGATATTGTTACGGTTTTTGTATTTAGTTTGTTATTTTTAATAGAACTGTTATTAAATTGTTTCATTTTCCCGTGCAATGTTGTGCGCCATAAGTTTTAAAAAAAAGTTATGCCTACAAAGTAAAAATACAAAAGCACGTACATTTAATATATAGATATCTCGTAATTGTAGTCTTTTGCTTTCCAGAAACCTCGAGAAAATACGAATTAACAGAATGCTCTAGCGCATTTTTAAAAAGCTTTAAAAAGCCGGAAGAATATATATCAGTTTTGTTGTTTACTTAGTTCTTGTTGTTGATTGTAGGAATTCGCGCTGAGATCGAATTAGCTTTCTCTGCTTTGAATCGTATTCTGTTTAACGTTTTAGTAGTTTAAAATGTAACTACTGTGAGATATCGTGATATTGTACGAATATCTCTGAGGAAATATTTCAGCATTTTGTTTTATTTTTGTGATAAGAATAAATTTTATTAACTTTTTATCGACTTGCGCATTCAATATATCACAAACCCGTACACACGCAATAATATAGTTGGAAGAATTTAGCGTCTGATCTGATTCACTCTGATTTTTTGTGTGTAGAAGTCAAATTTCTCTGTTTCTAGTATGCGGACTTAAGTATTCGATGGATGCGTGGAATTAACCTCAGTAAGAAAATGATGCCATAATGTTACTGGCATGCATACACACAATAATTAATTGAAAATAAATATATAAATTAGAACACGTATTTAATAGTTTATAATCGAGCTCTGGTTATAAAATGTAGCATATGAAAATTCCCATGTCTTTGTTCTACTCGTAACTAGTCTACCACAGAATGGGTACATGAAACTGATTCTTTCTATTTAACTACTCGCATTTTTTTCCCTATCAAAGGGAAAAAAACTGGACTGCACGTCCACACCGCAGAAGTATTTCCCTAAACGTATCTTTCATCTGGCACTAAAGCGCACAAATACTCTTTTTCTCCTCAATAAGAGAACAGCTGGGACTCTATTCTGGGAAAGAAATCTTGAATTTTTAACGACTGAAAAACGTGCTTTTTGCTTTACTGCGCTGAGTACTGATGAATCTCTAAAGAATTGGATGATGGTTGAGCTGTTTTGGGATAAAAGAATTCCGCTGCTATGCAGAAACCGATGTTCAACGAGAGGCAATTATGCGGAACTTTAATCGGTTATGACTCCGTTTGTGCTCGATGATTTTCGATAAGCGAGGCTGAAAATACCACTCATTTCTTCCGCGGTTAGGTATGACTGAATTAGCTACGATATGTGTGGAATTAGTTTTAAAACTGCGAAGTTATCCATTAAATGCCGATGACTATTTCACAGTTTTTTTTTTTTTTTTTTTTTTTTAATTATTCTAAGCATTGAATGATCTCGAAAATGGGCACTGTGTTTTATGAGCAGCTCAGAGACAAAGCACAAATTATAAATATAATTGAAAAATATAATTAAAATATTAATATTACAGTCTATTAATATATAATCTGATACATTTGAAACATATTCCTTTAGAATACTTATTCAGAATTAAAGAATTCATTATTATAGATGTTGATATTAATCTTCTCAGG